AACCAAGATCGCTTACCCTAGTGTTGTCAAAACTTGTCTTGTTCGTGACGTCATATAGCAACAACAATGCTAACACGAAAATAAAATTACTATAAATTACTTAAAATATGTGTTTATACAAATATATAAAGTTTAATTAATAAATACTCGTATTAAATCTAAAACATTCATTTCTGTAGCGAATTTTATTAAATTTTGAAACCAAGTTTTATTTTTATTATTTTGTGTAATATTTAAACGAATTGTAATATGAAAATATCAAACTACGTTCGTAATATTAATACAATTTCATTTAAAATTAAGCCCATCTAGAAGTTTCTCTCGGTATTTATTTATCTATAAATTTAATTTTTAAACATATATTTAATAAAACACCAGGTTCCAAAGCACATCCGTTTTACGTCTACAGGATATGACGATTTGTCTAATATCCAACTATCCTAATAGGAAGTAGATGTAGTTTACTTTAATTATATTTTAAAATACATTTTAACATAGTTTTTAGATTTTAATAAACAATTTAGAAAATAATTATTTTATTTTCAGCATAAATCTATTTTTGCGAGCCGATTTTTTCGATTTAAACGTCATCTATTATGCAAAATTTATTAGCCAAGATAATAATAGTGATGGGTGTTAAGACTTGTGAAGAAAACACGAGGCCCGAACCGGGGACCGTATGCGCCAATCGGCCACTGGCGAGCATCCCCGACGTACGACCGATATATAATCCTGCCATCGTAAGTCGGATCGGCTGTGATGCAACATAAAAAGTAATGGTGATAAATCGGTGCGATTCCCAAGGTAGCGCGTAACACAGCTTACGTACTATATGAATATTGTAATTGAAAACCGAATCGTTTCTTACGTTTACTAGCCATATTAAATGAATCATTAACACAGAGATAGTATTTTAATTAATTATGGTATCTTATTAACAATGATTCACCAACACACGCAATACATTCAAAGCAAACAAGAAAGTGTCCGCATGGAACTGATTTCATTTATTTATTTACGTCATTATTAACGCACTTTAACCTTATTATAGAATTAAAACGAGTGTCTTGGACCGAAAGTTAATTTCGTTCTCGCGTTTTGAGGTGTGGCGTGGAAATTTACGAGATATTGTGTACAGTATAATTGTGTGTGTATTTATTGCTCATTATAGTATCCCATTTAACGATAATCGTCGAGAGTAAAACGCTGTTGAGACTCGCAAAATGAGTTGTTAATATACTACTTTCGGCCGTCTTAAGTGCAGATTATTGTCAAACAGGGGTCATAAGTCGGGGACTAACTGATTTAAAAGAATTATAAACAATTTACGGTCATACCTCGATTTAGCGCCACCGTTTTCGCCTCCAAAATTGGTATTAAATCGAAATATCGCAAAAATAAAAATTATTTAAATATAATGCGATCTCCGCGCAAGCTCGAGAGTTTGAAAGTCAGGTGATTCGGTGAAAATGTTCTTTGCGACGCAAAATCCCGCATTTGTTAATTCAGAGATAACGAAGAATATTAATTACCCTTTAATCGCTACAACGAAGTTCCGTTTACAAGCATGGACTGGCGCTGTACGAAGGCAGCGCTATGTAGGAAGACGGTAAATCGAGGTTTGACCATATATTTTTGTTAAGAAATTCAATTCTATTCACTTCTATTAAATTACAAGCAAATAATTTAAAATCGAACAAAACAGACAAAAAAAAAAACGATTAACATTTTACATATTTTTGATAATAGAAAATCCGTATTATCCTATTAAATATCCGGTTACCCCAGTGTTTCTCAACCTCTAACGAATCGTCGCTCCCTTCAACGTAGTATCGCCCCCTTCAATAAAACCATTACGTAGTATCGCCCACTTCACTTCAAAATTCCGATGCCAACGGACAAGGCTAACGCCAAATTCGTACTGCTTTGAATAGACTAGTGATTAGTATAATGTTATTNCTTGAAGTGATTGCAATGCCCCTGGTGGTAACATTTGTCTCTAGTTGATTTTAGCAACGACCGAAGATAGGAAGTCAAAAGACCAGTTAATCTACTGACTCTGACAGTACTACATTTGAACCATAAAATATTCTTTGTTTTTACTGTTTTCTCGTTTCTGAAATATTTTTTTCATTAATATTGAAAAAATCATATGAATCATCAAAATTATTGTCATAAAATTAGTGTCTTTATTTTCAAATATATTGATAGGATAAGGCAAAGCAGCGCGTGGGCGATATGCCAACCAGGAATGCCTCCCGGAGGGACCTTCCGTGGAAAACTGGTTTTTATTTGGGTGTTAGATATGTGAAGAAAATCCAGAAACTATATGTGGCTGTCCGGTTGGTCAGTTGCAAACCCTCCACTATTTATTAGTGTTTAGTGGTTTTAGTCACTCGGTCTTTAATGGGCGCGTCAACATGCGTTGGAGCTGCAAACACTGCTACATTGAAAATTCTAAACACAGAGTTTTTGCAAGTACTTTTATAGGATACTGGTATGGGCGTCTTAAGAAAATTTCACAAGAAGGGGCAAAGCTCGAAGAAAAATAATTACATCAATAAATTTTTAATTTTCTAGAGGTTTTCACAGGTACAGTGGCATGCCGTCCTTGAAACCAGTGGAACACCGCTTCCCTTGTCCAGCATTTTCTAAAATATAAATACACATTGTGCGATTATTTTCATATTTTAACGTACTTTGGATTAATTAAAATTAATATTTTATAACCGCACTATGTATCTTATTACAGATTTCTATACATATGAAAAACAATGATACGATTGTATTGTATATTAGNCCTCCAGGTAACCCCATACTGTACTATATACCCCCACCCGCCAATACAAACGGGTGACTGTTGTACTCTCATGTTTTGTCGGACGAAATTGTAAAGCGCGAACCTCCTACTGCATGTAACCTTATATTTTTGTAATTTTGTATTATTGTATTATTGTTCGCTTAAAAAAACAAACCGGAGTAAGCGCTCACGCGACCCTCTCCTCTTTTCCTAACTTTTCCCCATCCTCTCCCGTACTTCCTCCTCTCCCTCTCACCTCTACTCTTCACCAAGGCAATACCTTTTGGTACGCTTTACTATTCAATCACTGTATCACTGTCCCTCTCCCCCGCGGGGGGAATATCGAAAATCCCTTCTTAGTGTACATTCTGTTGACGTACCCTATTAAAATGCAATCAAAAATGCAAAAAACCACATCTAAAATAGTATAAATAGAAGCAGAGTTCTTTACAATAAGGCTTACCGTAAAGAACTGCCCATCCCCCATGTTTAACGGAATAATATACAGCCTATGTCCACCCTGAGGTTCCATTCTAAATATTGGTAAAAAATTTTTGAAATCGGATGAATAGTTTCGGAGATTACCTGCTGCATACAAACTAACATACATACATACATACAAACATTACCTCTTTATAATATTAGTATAGATTGTTAGTCAATTGTTCTCTTATGTGATGTATGATCCCTTCGAGCTAAACGAACGAGTTAACATAGCGTATCAAAGTCCGGACAGAATTTTCACTTCAAATTTGAAGTAGCCGAATTCCTTAGCAAATATCAATCTCCGGCCGGGACAAAAGTACAGCTACGAATTATCCGAAGCCAGCATTTCCTGTACGACTATAACCAAACGAAAAAGATAATTGATATATTTGTTACGTTTGCCGCTCTTGGAACTCGAAATATTTCCAATTAAACTATGATATAAAAGCTTATATTTCAACTAAATTACTTCTTTTCGGAAATTTCTCTATTTTCAAAAAAATAACTTAAAAATTGTGTGACGCCATCTGTTATAGAAATTTAATAAAATCTCACATTATTAATTACTAGCAGACCCCACCACACGCTGTTGTGGCTCAAAATGTATCTATTATAAATGTATAACACTTCCCCGTGGGGGGGATTTTTCGAAAAATTTCTTCTTAGTGTACATTCTTTTGACGTACCCTATTAAAACGCAATCAAAAACGCATCTAAAATAGTATAAATAGAAGCAGAGTTCTTTACCGTAAGCCTTAATTTTGTCCATCTCCCCCCAGTGGGAGAAATTTCGACACGTATATTATATAAAAACACATGCGTATTCGAATGCAGCGTCGTGTCAAAATTTCAAAGGAATTGGTAGGAACAAATGAACATTACATTTTTATTTATATAAATTGATAGATGACCCGCTTTAGTTCATTTTCACAGAAAAGCGTAATGCCTGGCAGAAAAGCAAACTTAGGGCGTCGTACTCGTAGCGCCATCTGTTGGACATAAAAGTCTTAATCCTAGATGATATCTTTTAATTTATACGAATGTTTAACGGATTAATGTACAGCCTATGTCCACCTCGAAGTTCCATTCTAAGTATTGGTGAAAGAATTTTTGAAATCGGATGAGTAGTTTCGGAAATTAGCCTTTGCATACAAACTTACAAGCATTACCTCTTTATAATATTAGTATAGATTATAAAAAGGCAAAAACCTTAATTTGGGAGTTAGGAGAGTTTAAAAAACTATAAACGCCAGTAAACACAAAATTTTTTTATTAATTCGACACGCGATCCTTTCTAACCCCCATTCTCTTAACTTTTACTCGCCCAAATTTAATAGCATCGATGACCCGTATATAGAAACAGCCTGGTCAAATTTCAAAACTTTTGGTTTATCCATTCCCGAGATATAATGCGAAATAGATGCCAACACACGCAGAATTTTGTAAGGGGGTTATTTTACATTTTGGGCTCTTCGAGTATCAAAATGTCCAGAAATTGTGACCACATTTCTCTATGTTACATTCTATAATAGCCTAAATTAATAAGTAAATTCTTAAAAAATTATAAATAATTATTTATATTATTTTATATTTCAACTTTTCATTTAAAATAATGCAATAATTTAGAAAAAAAATCGATTTTGTAGATAAATAAGTCAATAAATCGATTCGTTGTTCGGTTAAGAGCAATCGTACATAATAATTTATTAAGTAGTTACCTAGCTACGGCCATAAATGCCAGGTCGACGTTCATTCCCGTTTTCGCACTGGTTTCCATAAAAGTCACTCCGTACTCCTGAATAAACACAAATTATAAATATAAATAACGCGTAACAAATGCGGAAAGATGGGTAAAGCGTCACTTACCTTGGCCAGTCTCTCTCCATCTTCGTATTTCACTTCTCTTTCTGCCGAAACGTCCGCTTTGTTTCCAATTAGCATAATAACCACGTCGTCTTGGGCATATTCGTTAATTTCCCCCAACCAAGCCTAAAACATATAAAGTAGGTTATCGATTTCCATTTAAATACGTTCCGTCGTTAACAACTAGAGATGAATTTGTCACGTAAAGCACCGTGATTCGACGAATGGGAAAAAGCAAATATTGCATTTCTCTGTTTTTTGTAGGCTGTGTATCGAATATACTGTATAAATAATCGTTTCGTATTCTAGGACAGAGGCGGCCTTTTGTCGCTTCTACTACGAATATGCGGTTTATATTTTTATGATATTTTGTCTCTTATTTATTATTTATATTTATATTGTATCGAATGTACAGTACAAGGTGACCCACAAATCTGGAAACACGGCAGATACGCTGATCTTTGTTTATTCTTTTACAGATAAAGCGCGGTGCTGACTAAGATGGAACGAATTCAAATTATGTCGATGATGGAGCCAACAGTTAGCGAGAAGTCTCTGAACAGTTTAACGGGCCAGTCGTGTACGTTTGGATGCAGCCTGTTAAACTCTTCGCTAACTGTGGGTCCTATCATCAAAATAACACGAATTCGTTTCGCCTTACTCGGCATCACGCTTTATCTGTAAAAGATTAAAGAAAGATCAGCGTAACTCCTATCAGATACTCTTATAAACTTAAACCTGCAATATAATATACGGTCTAGTGCAAAATGTATACAAGTGTAGCTTTGAGAGTTGAAGTGATTACGGAATAGAAAAGAAGTAAAAAGAAAAATAAACACTAGAAACTTTCATAAACTAGTTTAATTTTCAAACAAATTAAAAAATGTTTGGATTCCTCCTTGGTGTTTAAATGAAAAAGATTCCACTGTACAGCGATCTCATTTACTATCCGTACACTCAAAGAACAAACTTTCGCCGATTGTTAAGAATTCATTAACAATTATTTTTGAGATGGAGCGTTAGCGAAATTTCTTCTATGTGGTTTACAGAATTATTTCTTCCTCAAAATCTGATCCGTCGACTTCGATAAAACTTTGCCATTTTTCAAACAGAGGAATCCAAAAATATAATTTTAAAAATCTTTCGGGATAAAGCACTAGCACCAGCGCGCGCGAAAAAGCGATAACGAAGTAGGACGAAGGCGCCCAATGTCGCTAGCGTGGCATATAGAATTGAGTTCGTTCTCAAAATTTTTATGGCCGATTTTGATAAAATTCTGCCATTTTCCATTAATTGCGATGAGAAATAAAAAAATGTAATTTAAAAAATGGGGTCCTCGACTTCGTTTTCGAGATACGGTGGAGTCAAAATGACAATATCCGCGCGCTCTGACGCGATCGAAAGCGCCTAACGAAAAATATGCGCGAAAAACGAACAAAAACAATGAGCAAAGAGAAGAAATCATTTCTCCGTGGTGGAAAGTGCGACGTTCGTCCATCTATCCCTAGCAGCTGCAAGAATCGCCTCTTTGTTTCCGGTTCCGCCTCGGTTCTATCTCAAAGTCTGGCGATGTCCCTGTCCTAGTAATGACTTTTACAAAGTTTCCAACTCTTGGTATCTTAGCATTATTTGAATAAGAAAATATCAACTCGTGTTTTAACTAAATTATCATCAAAGAATTAAGTTATTACGTGGACTGCAACTAAAATATTTGATAAATATTCGGCTGATAATTTTATCAGTTCGTTTCATAAACGTATGAAATATATTTCTTAAAAATTATCTTCTGTTCAGCAACGGCAAATTCATTGACGTGTGGATTCTGGACAGTCGGCCAGTCAATTGTTGGATGATATACTATTTGATATGTTTAAAATAGATATCGTTTATTCCTCATTCGATTTTATCTCTTTGCTCATTCGTGAAAGCGAACGAGTTAAATATAAACCTCGATAAAAACTCGTTACCTCGTCTTTGCTAACTGCAATTAAACACGGGATACTGCAAACATTCGAATATTCAAAATAACTATTTATACGAAATACTTGGAATTATATAATCTAAGCCATCATCTAAATAAATCACCAGCCACATTTATTGGTGTAACAAATAGGTTAAAGATCACAAAATTATATGTAAAATTGCAGTCTAATAAAAGAATCAGCCATAAAATTATATGGAAAAACATCAAACAGTAGCGAAATCAGAGAGAGCTCTCTTTACTTTTGCAGATAAATAAATTCGGAAAAAGTCAAATGAGTACAAGAAAAAGATTTGAAAGTGATAAAAGCACTTACACACGTTTACGTAGCATACACGTATCAAAAAATTTACTCTTTATTTGTAGCGCTTATGGTTACATCCACAGTAGTAGAGGCGAATGCGGTGGCGAATCTATTGTGAAACTAATGGAGCCTAAGTTTCGGGACCCTTAATTCCAGAGGGTTCCGAAGCAACTTTTTGTGCGGTGTCATACGGTTGCTGGCTGCGAAGAGGGCCCCGTAACAGTTCAAGCTTCGTGGTACCAAAAAATTAATTTCGCACCTGAAAGAGTGTAGGTTTGTACAGTACGTTACAATTCGGGTTTCCCATAATATCGGTTCTAATTACGCTACTGCGAGAGCGGGAAAGTAGGGGGCGGCCTACCGCTTTGGGAAACCCGGAATCGAATCCGGATGGGTCAAAACCCCAGAATTTTTCGGAGGTGGTCCGTCCAGATATCCCATCCTTCATCATTCGGGCTCTCCATTGTGGGCTTGGCCGAAACCATAATGGGCTTGCCAAAAGGACCCGCTTAGTGCCTATAAGGCGGAAAGAGTTAGAAAAAAAGATGGTTTGTACAAATTCAGCAAATAACAAAAGCGATACCCGCTGAATCGGCTTTAATACAGTTGGATGAACGAGCCAATGACAGATACAGTTTCAAATGAAACAGACTCTGGCATCAGTTTGCTTATTAGGCTGTATTAAAGCCAATAACAGAGTCGGTAGATTAACTGGTCTTTCAACTAATAGTTTAAACTTAGCTAGAGACAATATTTCCGCTAGTTGGCGCCACTGTTAGCAGGAGAGCGTTGTTCTTGCTATGTGTATACTGAGATCAGTGATTTCGACTTATAATAATTGTGTTTTTTAGCTACATAAAAATGCTAACGTGCTTTGTGCCAGGATGCAAGGCAGGATATAAGTCATCGAACGAGAAGAGACATTTTTTCCGTGTTCCTAGCGATAAGATTGAGGAGTGGATGCGATTCATTCCACGAGACGACAAGATACTGACAAATACGTCTGTGACGTACATTTTGCGAGTACATTTATTTTAAAAACCTTCTCCCATGTTATAAATGGAGAGAAAGTAGAAATTCCACGAGATCGCTGGGCATTAACGTCAAATGCATATCCATCAAACTTCCCTAATTGTCCTAAGTACATTAGTAGGTCTGTACCTCAAAAACGATCAATGCGATGTCTCACAAGAAATGAAGAACCATCTAGGAAGGGATCACAAAAAGACAATACCAAAGGTAACTATTTATGGTTTTTATGTAATCTTAATCCTCAGTGAGTCATGTAATTTTTTGCCCTTGCCTGAGTTGCAGTGCGTCTCTCGGACCCTGTGTTTTAATATAAAATTAAATTTTATCTATCTATCTATTTTATCTATATTTAAGGAACATTTTATATTTAAAAATTAAGTAAAGATTGAGCTGGGTTTGTGAGATCCACTGTGATTCACTGAGGGTTATCTCTCTGTGGCCCATCTTTCCTTATAAATACTTTAAGATTAATTGTCTGATATTTTTTTTTATCAATCATTAGATTTGCATGATACACACTCCCAAGTAACAACTGTAGAAAAGGAAGTAGAAGAACCCTCCACATCTGAAGCAGCAACTACACAGCATCCTGAGCTGTTATATGTCAATAAAATCTCTGCTTTGCAGTCTGAATTGTTAAAAGTCAAAGAGGATTTATATCGGTGCAGAAAGCAAAAGATGATCTATAGGAAGAAACTGAAAACCCTTCAAACAGAAAATCTCAAGCTTCATCAAGAAAATACTGAACTTAAAATGAAACAGTTGTCAGCTGATAAACTTGATTCCTTACCACCAAGACAGAAACTTATAATAGAGCACATGCTGAAAGCATGCCATATAAAAAGCAAAAAGGGTATGAGATATGACATTAATTGGTTACTTGACTGTTTACTTTTAAAAATTAGGTCACCATCTCTCTATGAATTTTTGAGAAATAATGATTACTTGCCTTTACCCTGTCAGTCTACACTGCATCAATATATCAGAGGCATTAATGCCAAATTTGGATTTGATGAAGATCTTTTTGTTATTTTAAAGACAAAATTGGAGACAATTCCACAAACAGAACGCCAGGGAGTTTTAATTTTTGATGAAATCACACTTCAAAAACATATAGAACTTTCAAAAGCTACTGGTGAAATGATTGGACTTGTTGATTATGGTGACAATTCTGAATTGCCACAGAGTGAATTTACAGCAGGTGATCATGGCCTAGTGTTTATGTTCAGACCTCACTTTGCTAGTTGGGTACAATGTATTGGCACATTCTGTTCAAAAAGCTCTGTCCCAGGTTCTACTGTTGCAAAACTTATTTTGCAAGCAATTATTCATTTAGAACAGTGTGGTGCAATAGTCAATGCAATAGTTTGTGATGGTGCCAGCACAAACAAAGCAGCTTTAAAAGCTCTAGGAATTTGTGCAGACACAAATAATATACAATGCTCATTTACAAACCCTGCTGCAGATAGACAAGTACTGGCTATTATTGATGTACCACATATTTTAAAATGTATGCGAAACAATCTTTTGAAAAATACATACTTTCAGGTAAAACTAAGAAAATAAAGTGTTTTCACCTAATTTATAATATAAGCCATTGCATTATTCTGCATTTTTACTTTTAGTTTCCTGAAGGAAGGGTAGAATTACAGCATTTTAAAGCAGTTGTTGATGAAGATTCCAAATTACCAAAGGGATTAAAGGCATGTCCCAAAGTGACAGAAATACATGTTAATCCCAATAACTTCCAGAGAATGAGTGTATTGCTGGCAGCTCAAGTAACACTTTTTTTTACTTATATAATCTTGACTTGATAAGAATACTTTTATTTATCTCATATATTTATAGATATTTAGTAATACTTTTGCTGATGCTATGCTGTTTTATAAACAGCGTGAGGTTGCTATCCTAAAGAATGCAGATGTTACAATAAGTTTCATACGTCACATCAATGCTCTTTTTGATGCTTTAAATCGTAGATTGCCACAGGAAGGAATCAGACATGATTCAAATGATCTCAAGGTAATAGTAATGATTCACTAGCAAAAACTATAAATGTTTTAATTAACAACTTTTTAAAAATAGGTTATTGAAGAATCTCTAGAATGGTTAAATAGATGGGAAGCATTCAGATTACAGATTAGAAGCACTGATCAAAAGGGATTTTTGAGCCACCAGACAGCAGAAAATCTACGCTTGACGCTGACTAGTATCTTAGCACTCGTCAGACAATTGCTTCCAAACTCATATTATATCCTGACAGCTCACTTTAATCAGGACCCATTAGAGGTAAAATTGACTTAGTGTAATGATTATATAATCTTGTATTAAACCTTAACTTATGTTTTCTTTTCAATTAGCGTTTCTTTGGAATGATAAGACAAGGAAGTGGAAGCAATTCTCATCCCACAACAGTACAGTTCTTATACCTGTACAGACTGATGACTGTTTACAGTTTGGTTCGTCCTCCCAAACGAGCATCAGTTCAAACTGATCCAGGATCTATGCTTATTACTTTAAAAAATCTTCTTCATAGTCATAAAAAACCATTCAGAGAAGTTCAAGAACAATTGGAAGAACATTTAGAAAATTTGCTTTGTGATCCAAGTTTATACTATGGAGATCCTAGTGATAGTGAATTATTAGATCATGATTATTGTACACCAGAAACATTTAAGTTTATCCTACATTATTTAGGAGGTTATATTATTTATCGTCTACTGCCATCACTCGGTTGTGATGAATGCAAAAATATATTAACAGCAAAACCTGAGGATGCTGCACCAGAGAAGACATTTACATTCATCAAATCTCGAGGAGGTTTGTTATATCCAAGCTATAAGCTTTGCCAATTGATGTACTGGGCAGAAAGCAAAGTATGCGAAAAATTAACAAACCCAAACATGGATGTTTATTTTTCAATAATGGATAATATATTAAATCAGTGCTCTGTTACATTGATGATAGGATGTGACAATGCTGGTCACAAGTCCTACTTGACTTCCAGATTTTTGCACTTTTTTGTTACTTGTCGATTGCATTTTTTCACGCGAACGATTAATCAATCATTTATTTCATCAGTTGAAAGTAAAAACCATAGAAAAATTTCTCACTTAAAGTAAATTTTAATAACGCAAATAATAAAAATAATAATTATTATTAATATGTATAATATAATTTGTTTGTATGTACAATAAATTTTTAACGTATAATAAATTCACATAATAGCACAATTTAATAATAATAATACTATTGTGTCAGTTTTGTTCCTTGTCATTTATTTAACTAAATATAAAATCAGCGTTTTTAAAACACTTAATAAAGCATTAAACACCTTCCATCGCTGAGAAATGTTTATTTAATAAAATACGTTCGAACTCATTTACACCTGAGGATAGTTTATTCCATGAGGCTGAAAATGTTAGTGTTTTATTAAATAAACATTTCTCAGCGATGGAAGGTGTTTAATGTTTTATTAAGTGTCATTTATTTATCCATAAACCTGGTTTTGGGTTTAAATAAAAGCCTTTTCATTCTTATAATAAAATTCATATAGAAAATTATGAAATCGAAGTCGAATGTTATATATATCTTTCAATAAAAAGAAAACATTCGACCTCACAGCGATTCGATCTAGCGCTCTTGAAGTGATTGCAATGCCCCTGGTGGTAACATTTGTCTCTAGTTGATTTTAGCAACGACCGAAGATAGGAAGTCGAAAGACCAGTTAATCTACCGACTCTGGCCAATAATTAAAATTTGTGTTGTGGAAACGAGAAAAGCATTTCGAAAGCTGTTATAAATTACACACTTTAACAATTATTAAATAAATGTAAAAGAAACCAAGATCGCTTACCCTAGTGTTGTCAAAACTTGTCTTGTTCGTGACGTCATATAGCAACAACAATGCTAACACGAAAATAAAATTACTATAAATTACTTAAAATATGTGTTTATACAAATATATAAAGTTTAATTAATAAATACTCGTATTAAATCTAAAACATTCATTTCTGTAGCGAATTTTATTAAATTTTGAAACCAAGTTTTATTTTTATTATTTTGTGTAATATTTAAACGAATTGTAATATGAAAATATCAAACTACGTTCGTAATATTAATACAATTTCATTTAAAATTAAGCCCATCTAGAAGTTTCTCTCGGTATTTATTTATCTATAAATTTAATTTTTAAACATATATTTAATAAAACACCAGGTTCCAAAGCACATCCGTTTTACGTCTACAGGATATGACGATTTGTCTAATATCCAACTATCCTAATAGGAAGTAGATGTAGTTTACTTTAATTATATTTTAAAATACATTTTAACATAGTTTTTAGATTTTAATAAACAATTTAGAAAATAATTATTTTATTTTCAGCATAAATCTATTTTTGCGAGCCGATTTTTTCGATTTAAACGTCATCTATTATGCAAAATTTATTAGCCAAGATAATAATAGTGATGGGTGTTAAGACTTGTGAAGAAAACACGAGGCCCGAACCGGGGACCGTATGCGCCAATCGGCCACTGGCGAGCATCCCCGACGTACGACCGATATATAATCCTGCCATCGTAAGTCGGATCGGCTGTGATGCAACATAAAAAGTAATGGTGATAAATCGGTGCGATTCCCAAGGTAGCGCGTAACACAGCTTACGTACTATATGAATATTGTAATTGAAAACCGAATCGTTTCTTACGTTTACTAGCCATATTAAATGAATCATTAACACAGAGATAGTATTTTAATTAATTATGGTATCTTATTAACAATGATTCACCAACACACGCAATACATTCAAAGCAAACAAGAAAGTGTCCGCATGGAACTGATTTCATTTATTTATTTACGTCATTATTAACGCACTTTAACCTTATTATAGAATTAAAACGAGTGTCTTGGACCGAAAGTTAATTTCGTTCTCGCGTTTTGAGGTGTGGCGTGGAAATTTACGAGATATTGTGTACAGTATAATTGTGTGTGTATTTATTGCTCATTATAGTATCCCATTTAACGATAATCGTCGAGAGTAAAACGCTGTTGAGACTCGCAAAATGAGTTGTTAATATACTACTTTCGGCCGTCTTAAGTGCAGATTATTGTCAA